AGAAACAAACATTTGAAAGTGAACATAAGAAGGTTAATGAGTATCCCAACTGACCGGAAGCAAACGCGTCGGCTATTTTACACGCGTGAGCGAGGATTTGAACTCGGGACTACCGAGAACAAATTCAGCTAGTGGTCGGGGCGGGACTTGAACTAGGGGCCTCTGGATTGCAATTCTAGTGCTTTATCCACCTGGGCTCGCTGCCTCCTTAAACCTGAACCTCCAAGTTCGTCCCCAGTGGAGGGTTGGGGAAAAGCCCTGGGAACAAGGTTGCTGAACCTCTTCCTCCTCGTGCTTCCAAGTTATTTCGTACCTAGATCCTCACCAGTCAAAACATTGGAAAGAGTTCTACTCGTACTCATCTGACTGTAGCTTGCGCGCTAGCTCTCATAAGGTTGGGTTGGGCGAGGTTAAGCCCCCGCCACCATTTCCCCCTTCCCTGGAAGGTTGGGTTGGGTGAAATAAAAGAAAATAACCAGACAAAGAGCCGAACTCTCGCACCCGTTTTTCACCCTTTGCGCTCGACGCCTAGGCTATAACGTTGGCTGCAGTGCGTGTACGAAAAACCACAGGTGAAAAACGTTTCTAACATTGAACTTAGCGGGCCATTTCCGAGCCAACCTCGTTCCCAGGGTTCTCTCCTATTACGAGTAGGAGAGGAAAGACCCTGGGAACGAGCTTGTTTCCGAACCCCAAAAACTCTCACTTTCAAAACGAGGCTAAGTGCAAAACCCTTCTTGTGAAAATGAGTTTTATTTGCATGAGTGTAAAAGAGAAAAAAAATCAAAGCAATGTCTTTGCACACAGCCTCGCTTTGAAACAGAGGCTTGGGGCAACTCGGAAACAGCCTTTTGGAGTATGTTTTGTTGACATCGCCGCGTCCACATCAACAGAAAACGATACCACAAAATCTACAAATTTTCTCGAAATCTATTCGGGAGGAAAATTTGCTCATGTAAACGTCTTAAAGGTATAATTTAATTTATTTGTGACGCAGAAAAATGAAAACTTTGTGTTTCTTTATTATGCCCTAGGACTTTGCGTCTGTTTTTCACGTGATTAAAACAATCCGTCCAATCATGGATCAACGCATTGTTTTTATGCAAGCTGAATATAAGGGCAAGAGTCGTGCCTCTGATTAATCTATTCTTTGCTTTGAATATTTTGTTAAATTCCCTCAGCAAACGAATAATTATGCGTCACAATTCTACATTATGCCTTCACTAAATAATCTATCTTTTTTTGAAAGCAAAAAAGAAAGTAAGAAGGAGAGGTATTTAATTATCGAATCGGTTCAAAGTTTTTTGACCTTACTCAAATTATGACGTTAACTGGGTGTGGCCTTCTTTCAATTTCACCTTGACGATCCAAATATTTTTTGGTTGCGACGAGTTGCGTTTTCTTTTCTGATCGAATGTTTTTTTCTCCTCGTAAATACTTGACATCTTTAACTTTCGAGCAGTGTTTGCAGCTGGTCAGAGTAACTTTCTTCAACACATCAAGGTAATTTTAGTTTTTTGAGGTTGTAAAAACAACATTTAATGAGGCTTTATCTTCTACAATACTACTCCTCTAGTATTGCATTTCTCTTCAAAACTGTTTGTCTTTTTTGTTCTGAAATATAGTTTTATCTAAATTGTGTATTTTGCTAGCGTTTAGTCAGTATGCGACAATAAGACGTTCAGTGCACGGTCGCATTTAACCCTGTAGAATTTCTAAACTGTCGGAAGCAGCGAAAATTCCTTTTTCTTTTATTCACACTGCATTTTGCTTATCGATGATCGCAAACTATTTTTCTTTTTTTCACTGATTGGGAAGTTACGTAACTTGCTTGTCAAAAATTTGAATGAGTAAATTCATGTATCTTTCGGACGCGATTTAGTGCTATTTTAGAACTTATTTTGTACGTGGATTTCGTTCGTTGTCAGTCGTTTCTGGAGCCCTGAAACATTTTTTCTCTAAATACTCATGTAGAACATGCACAAAGATGTTCAAATCAAATCGGCACCTGACAAATTTTCGAGCGGCTGAAAATTCATGCGTTGTGTTGTTTCGTTCACACAGATTCACCTTAATCGTATGAAAATTGAGACGCTTAGTCGTACACTAATTTCCGTGTAAGCAAAGCGAAAATTTTAAACGGTTCCGTGTGAAAGAAGTGTCCGGTCAGAGTTTTCAGCTGGTCGAAAATTCGTGCGGTGCCCTTTGAACGTAGCCTCAGTTTGAATTAGCCTTCAAATTTCAACTTGATGTTTATTACAATCGTTTGACCGCTACGAAGAACGATCCACCCGAGCTACGTTTTAAGATTAACGGCACAAACAGCCTAAGGCCTACGCCAAACGTCGAACTTTTCATGAGACGAACCCAACTCTAATTTAGGTTGACGTAAATTAAGTTAAGATCGTCTGTTGAATCAGACGTCGAACTTAGGACCCGTCGAACCAATCAACTGGATCAGACCAACAAGCAATTTTAGCCGGTCAGTAATAAATTTTCTCCCGAACGATGCTAAATATACGTCATCATACAAATTTTTAATTTATTAGTTTAGTCTGTCGAATGTGAAGATCGAGGTTTGTCCCGGAGACGATCTTCAGACGTTCTATCCGTTTGAAAAGTCAAAAGTTACTACAGGTTCTTGAAATAAGTGTGCCTTGTCCTCGAGTCGCACACTTTTCGGAAAAACACATTCCGCTCCGACCCAGCGACCCGATTAAAACCAAATATCTGTAAATCAGTTGAAGGAATAAGTCGCAATGCCAGTTGTTTTTAGCATAAAGTGGTGATAGCTAAGACATACCAAATAGAGTTCAAACACCATTAATCGATCTCTCCTCGCTTGTTCAAACTTCGGATAGTGCTATCCAACAGATAAATCACTGTCCTGCGAGTAACTAACAAGGAAACTTATTGCGCTCACCACACTGGAATAAGATTTATTCAGTGGATAACGTTATCCACCTTTCGATCAACTGGGCCTTTATAAAAAAATTGTGGTTGCTTTTCCATAAAATAAATTTCTGTAAGTAATGTTTCCAACACGAGAAAAATTGTTCCGTCTGTAATATCCGAAGTAATATCTGAAACACCAGAAGGATTGTTTCATCAGATATCCAAGCACTGAGAAGTAATATATCAAACACGATAACGAGTGTCTCATCCGATATTCTAACACCGAGAGGTTATATATTCAACACTATAAGGAGTGTTTCATGCAATATCCAAACACTGAGAAGTGATATATTTAACACTAGAAGAAGTGTTACACTGGTATCCAAACGCTGAGAAGTAATATATCAAACATTAGAAGGAGTGTTTCACTGGTATCCAAACACCAGGAAGTGATATATCAAACACGAGGAGTGTTTCATCCGATATCCAAACACCGAGAAGTGGTATATCAAACACTAGACGGAGTGTTTCACTGGTATCTAAATACCAGGAAGTGATATATCAAGCACAAGAAGGAGTGTTACACTGGTATTTAAACACTGAGAAGTAATATATCAAACATGAGGAGAGTTTCATGCAATATCCAAACACTGAGAAGTGATATATAAAACACTAGAAGGAGTGTTTCACTGGTATCCAAACACTGAGAAGTAATATATCAAACACTAGAGGGAGTGTTTCACTGGTTTCCAAACACAAGGAAGTGATATTTCAAACACTAGAAGGAGTGTTTCACGAGTATCCAAACACCAGAAAATGATATATCAAACACGAGGAGTGTTTCACTGGTATCTAAAACCCAGGAAGTGATATATCAAACACGAGGAGTGTTTCACTGGTATCTAAAACCCAGGAAGTGATATATCAAACACGAGGAGTGTTTCATCCGATATCCTAACACTAAGAAGTAAAGCAAACACGTTATCATAAATGTTTGCTAACATTTGCTTTG